AAATTAAAACTGACAAGCCGGAAGAGCTATGTCCTGAACTGCCATATCAGTGGAAGAATAACACAGTGAGACAAAATATGCCAACATATTAAATGGCCGGCTGCTGACCAGAGGCCGTAACTGAATCCAACAGTAAACCCTGCAAACTTAAAATGAGCGTACTAGTTAAACAGACAAAGAGAAACCAGCACCAAGATTTACCTAAGATTTACCTAAGGTCACAGGACTAGAACCCAGGTGTCCTGACTTAATCGAGGGTCCTGCCTACTAGGCCAGACTGCCTCCCAGCAACAGCTGTTGAAATGGTGGATAAGTCCGTGGGGGTAGTCCAAGAGTACAGGCCTTCTGGAGAGAAGTAAACAGCAGGGCTGGCCTTACCATGAGGCAAACTGAGGCGGCCGCCTCAGGTGCCAGACTGTGGAGGGGGCACCACTAGGACCCAGAATGTAGAAAATTGTGTCTGCTGTATTCTCTCTGCTCTAGATGCACAGAGATGGTGGAGTGCTGTGCTGGAGGAAGGAGGGCACAAGAGACATAACAGGCAGGCAGGAGAAAAGGTGAGAGGGAATAACAGAAAGCAGCAGGAGCTGCAGGGAGAGAGAGGAGGAGGAGCCTCTTATGTATCTCTCTAGCACCCCAAGGAGCCTGGACTGATTAACACCAGCTTCTAAGGGAGCTTCCTGTTTCCTGCTGCTTCCCTGAACCCACTTGAGAAGAACAGGCAGTCAACTGAAATAGTAGGAGCCCCTTAAGACGCTGATATCTTCCCTCACTCACGCCCTGCTACTAGCCTGCTTATTTGTCCCCTTCAATTGAGTGTTGAGAGCCACTATAGCTGGCACAGAACAGCAGTCATGAGTGAAAGAAGAAAACGTCCCTCTGGGGCAGCATTCAGAAAAAGAAAGAAAGCAAAGGAAGCTTTTCTATCTAAGCAGGAAGGAGCTCTTCTGAGATACATAGACACAAATGTTCACGGTGAGCCTTCCGGCCCCAGTGAGGATGAGAGTGGTGAGGAGATGCCTGATCTTCCAGTTAGTCAGAGTGCAGGTGACCTGGCAGCTACTGCAGCATCCATATCTCCATCTCAAATGGATGTAACCATGCACATTCCTGAAGAAAAGTGTAGATCAGAGAAGAGTGTGGTGGAGGCACAAGAAACAGCTGCTGCTGAGTTTAGTTCCTTAAGTTTAGATGATCCAGGACTGTGGACCCACTTGAGCAGTAGCCTGAGGGACTTCCTTGTACTGCATGGGCCACAACAAATGAAAAACTTCATGTTCCCCAAAGGCAATGAAAATAGAAGTTTCCATCCAACACATTACTGGCGTGAAATCCCCAATGGTGACAAAGTGGAGAGGCCATGGCTTATGTACTCAAAAACCCGGAATTCTGCATACTGTTTTTGTTGCAAACTCTTCCAGTCTAATGTTCCAGCCACATTGGGTTCTACAGGACTGGAAAAATCTGGCTAGAAATCTGGCATGCCATGAGAAGGCAGCAAATCACCAGAGAGCATTCCATAGGTGGAAAGAGCTTGAGCTGAGACTAAGGTTAAAGGCCACCATAGAAGATCAGCATCAAGAGAAGATTGCATCAGAGTCTCTTTACTGGCAAAATGTTCTGAAAAGGCTCATTGCCATTGTGAGAATGCTTGCTACCCAAAACCTAGCATTGCGTGGCACTTCAGGTCAGCTGTATGTGCCAAACAATGGAAACTTCCTTAAAATTGTGGAGCTGATGGCTGAGTTTGATGCTGTACTCCAGGACCATCTAAGAAGAGTCACCACCCAAGAAATGTACACACACCACTAAATTGGAAAAACAATTCAAAATGAGATCATATAGTTATTGGCAACAAAAGTCAAACACAAGATTGTGGCAGATCTGAAGTCAGCAAGATATTATCTCTGTTATTCTGGACTGCACACCTGACATCAGCCATATGGAACAAATGATTTTAATGGTGCGTTTTGTAACAACAACAGAACCTAGTGAAAATGTCCCTGCAATGGTGACTGTCGGAGAGCATTTTCTAGAATTTATTGACATTGATGATACTACAGGAGCTGGTATGACAAATGTGCTTCTTAAAAAGCTGGAAGATACGGGAATTGCGATAGCTGACAGGAGAGGTCAGGGCTACGATAATGGTGCCAACATGAAAGGAAAGAACAGAGGAGTGCAGACACGGATCTGAGAGTTAAACCCTCGAGCTTTTTTTGTCCCATGCAGTTCTCATTCATTGAACTTGGTGGTCAGTGATGCAGCATCAGCTTCTAGTGAGACTGCTGAATTTTTTAATGTAATTCAAAACATCTAAGTATTTTTCTCTGCATCAACTCATCGATGGCAAATTTTGAAGCAACATCTGGGAACATCCTCTCTGACACTGAAACCACTGAGTGCCACATGATGGGAAAGTCGAGTAGAGGTGATAGAGCCTATCAAACACCAAATTGGGAAGATAGATGATGCCATAGTTGCCATTATGGAGGATAATGCTATGACAGGAACTGTTCATGGGAGAACAGTGGCAGAGGGAAATGGAATCACCAGAAACATACATAACTTCAAATTTCTGTGTGTCTTAGTGTTGTGGCATGACATACTGTTTGAAATAAATGTTGTAAGCAAGAGACTCCAAGGTGTTGACCTTGATATATCTGGAGCAATGGAACAACTGGACAAAGTGAAGTCATATCTACAGTCTTACCAGTCAGATGAGGGATTTCAAAACATTCTGAAGAGTGCACAGAAGTTGGGAGAGGAACTTCACACTGAAGCTATTTTCCTACCCATTCAAGAATACAAGAGTCACTGAAGAAGACGACATTTTGATTACGAGACACGGGATAATCCCATAAGAGACCTCAAACAACAATTCAAAGTTGAATTCTTTAACCAGGTGCTAGATTGTGCAATACAGTCAATTGAAGAACGTTTCATGCAGCTCAAGGAACACAGCAGTATATTTGGGATGTTGTATGATATTCCCAAACTCCTCACTATAGCTGAAGAAGACCTACATCAGCAATGCAGGGCACTAGAGACCGTGTTGACACATGATGACATGCGCGATACTGATGCGAGTGATTTAGATGATGAACTGAAAGCCCTTTCAAGATACATTTCAGCAGGATCAACTCCAAAGGCTGTTCTGGAATATATGTGCACAAATAAGATGACCACCCTCTTTCCAAATGCTTTTGTTGCTCTTTGCATACTTTAACACTTCCTGTAATAGTTGCCATTGGAGAACGCAGCTTCTCCAAGCTGAAGTTAATAAAAACACATCTACGCTCCACAATGACACAGGAGAGGCTGGTCGGCCTTGCAACCATCTCAATAGAACATGAGCTGGCTCAGACTGTGGACCTTCAGGAAGCAGTTCAAATCTTTGCAACCAAGAAGGCAGGGAAAGCACCACTTTGATTATTCAAACAGATAAAAATGCCAGTGTTTACTATGCAGACAAGAAAAGTTACATTTGTTGTTCAGGCATTTGAAAGTTAAGTGTTACTTAAAATTTTTGAACAAGGCATTTTAAGTTGCTAGTTCTCCTTTATTGGGGTAGGTAGCAGAGCAGTATAATGAGAGGAGTAGAACAGGAAGAAGGCAGAATTGAGACCTTTCAGAGTTTTGGCCCAAGCGAAGGGCCATGGTGCCAAAATGTTGTGGGCCAGCCCTGGTAAACAGGCAGGTGGATTTGAGTTTAAATACTCAATACTTAAATACTGATCCAAAAGGTAGCTGGAGAGCTGGGTGACATAGCAGGTCTGTCAAGCCATAGGAGAGGTTTCTGTGGAATAATCAGCATTGTTGCTGAGAGGCCAACTGTCCATAACTGCTAGAAAGCTTAATAACATACTAAGGAACCCCTCCAATTCTGTTAAAATCATTTATCTAATTACTGGGCAAAATCCCTTCTTCCCCTGAAGCCAGGGGTGTTACATCCGGGATGAATTTGGTCCAGTCATCATTTGGATATAATTTCAAAGACATATGCTCTTGCTCCTGAGAATTACATGATAAATGAACAGCTAGCAACTGAAGAGTCAATAGCATTATTCTGTGTGACATGCATAGGTTTATTCTCTACTTTCTGATCTGCATGCTGTAAATCCTACTATTATCACAGCACAATGCCTCTACCTCATGGACAACTTTTCATATGGTTTAGTTATAAAATAAAAACCTCTCATCCCAAAAATGCAGGAAGAGGTTTTGGGTTCTTTTTTTAGCAGCTATCTGTTATAGAAACAGCAGTAAGTAACTTTGCAGTCCCTTCCACTGCCTCCAGTTAAATACAGAAACAAACACAGCTACTCCGCACTCTGTCAATAGAATGCACGCCCCGCTTGTCTACAACAAAGGGAAAAGCAGCAGGCCATACTTCAAAACATTAATCGGTGGCTCTGGATTAACACTTGCTCTGCCCCGCATCCAAACATCATGTGTTAACAAACAGTTAAAAGCCGGAATATTAAATAATCTCTGTCTGCTGCCAGAACTTCAGTTGGATAAGGATGGTAATTCATGTTCTTATTTCAGTGTCTTGTCCACAGCACTACATTATTTGTATTTACAGCTACAAGAAATGAACAATCAATCAATCAAGAGGAAGAAGCAAAATACTTTACAGGACAATAATATCTTGCACATTTCAAAATGCAGTAGTTCTAGCAACTCTATTTCTATACCAAAGTGGTGTATTAAATACTAAAAACCACCTCAATGTCTCTATGTTATCACAAGATAGGTGTTCTTTTATGCCAGTGTGATCCCTCTGAAGTAAACTTTAGAAGTGCTAATGTGGCCAGATTTTCTAAAGAGCTGATCTCCCAATATAAGCACTAAAACAGATTCTGAGATTTTCAATTGGACCTGCTGGGGGCTGGGAACATTTGAAAAACCAGATACTTCTTGTAGGTCCCTAAATGGGAGCCAAACTCTTTCTAAAATCTGCTCCTCCCCTCTGCAGTGTGATTTAATTGCCTTACCTATAAAATGAACGCAGCCAAATACCCACAAGAGCAGATGGACATTCAGGGCCAGCATCATCTCGGTAACTTGTGCCTGCACAGCCTGCTCTATCCATACTCTGAGCGAAAGAGGGGCGAGGAGAAATTTGCTGGCCTGGATTGATTCTTTCGGAACTTCCTGTTAAATAATAGAAGGAAACAGACTGAATCCACAGGAGAGCCCACGCCATGGAACTCTGTTTTCGCCCATTATGGTTTAAAAGGATATGAGACATAGTTTACTGAATGCAAAGGAAACCTTGGCAACATTTTTGTCAGGGAACTCTCTTCTCAGACTGGAGGTGAACAGCAATAAAATGTACACAGCGGGCCCAGTTTGCTGTGCACTTACATAGCTTCTTTATGGTATTTACAGTATTTGTGTAGCAACACCAGTACTTTGGTGGTGTGACCTAGTGGGCTAAGCACAGGGCTAACAGCCTGGAGGTCCTGTGTTCTAATCCTGCCTCTGATGCTAGCCTTGAGTAATTTACTTCTGCTGCCTATCTCAGAGGGCGACTGTGTATGGGAAAAGTGTCCATAATGGGTGTGAGCACCCCCTGCTGGGGTAAAGGCTATTGTAGGAGAGGTTTTGAGGCGGAAGTCTCCACAACGGTCCCCCACCTGAGGATTATAAACTGTAATCAAGTCACTCCTTCACCTTCTCTTTGTCAAGCTAAATAGATTGAGCTCCTTGAGTCTGTCACTATAAGGCATGTTGTCTAATCCATAATCATTCTCATGGCTCTTCTCTGAACCCTCTACAATTTATCAACATCCTACTTGAACTGTGGGCACCAGAACTGGACACGGGCTTCCAGCAGTGCCAAATACTGAGGTAAAATAACCTCTCTGCTCCCACTCGAGATTCCCTTGCTTATCCATCTCAGGATCACATTAGCCCTTTTGGCCACAGCGTAGCACTAGGAGCTCATGTTCACCTGATTATCCACCAGGATGCCTAAATGCTTTTCAGAGTCCCTGCTTCCCAGGATAGAGTCCCCCGGCCTGTGAGTATGGCCTGCATTCTTTGGTCCTAGATGTATACGTTGACATTTAGCCATATTAAAACACAGTTTGCTTATGCCCAGTTTACCAAGCTCTGTATCCCTGAAGAGGGCCTGTGCCTCTACAGCACCCTGGCTGCCTGTGCCCCTACTCCCACCCCTTGTCAGGGTGGGCCCAGTGGAGTGTGCTAACTGGGATGGATTCCCTCTGAATGGAGCAGAGCCAGGGGGAGGGAAAGAGCTACACAATGAACGTCCTGAGGTTGGATAAGATGTGGGGGATGCTTTGCATTCTCCTAACCCCAGTCTAGCCACCCCTGTCCCCACACTGCATGGAGAGGATCCTTGGGAGCGTGGGGCTGAGCACCCCTTCTGCGTGGAAGGGACCACCCCACCATGCACAGATTTAGGTCCCTGTTTGGCAAAGCACTTATGTATGGGCTTAAGCCTCTTTGACTTCAATGGCACTTGAGCACCTGCTTTTCAAGGGAAGTGCTTTGCTGACTCAGGGCCCTGGCAGCAGCAGATCTGGCTCAGTACCGCACTAGCTCATGGGTGCTATGGGGATCCAGCTGGTTCATATCTGGGAAGCATTTGGAAGCTACAGCATAGGCGCTGAGTTTCTAATCTACTGGGGGGGCTCCCCCCCGGGTCCCCACAGGCCCTGCCCCCACTCCACCCCTTCCCCTCCAAGGCTCCACCCCCACCCTGCTTCTTCCCACCCCTGCTGCGCCCCGCCTCTTCCCGCCCCGCCCCCAAGCACACTGCACCCTTGCTCCTCTCCCGTCCCCACCCAGCGTCTCCTGACACCGTGAAACAGCTGATCCGCGGCAGGCGGTAGGTGCTGTGAGGGAGGGGGAGGTGCTGATCTGTGGGGCCCGCTCATGGGCAGGAGGCGCTGGGGGTAAAGGGGAGGTTCTGGTAGGGGGGCTGCCAGTGGGTGCTCAGCACCCATCATTTTTTCCCCATGGGTGCTTCAGCCCCAGAGCACCCATGGAGTCGGTCCCTATGAGCTACAGCATGAATATTAGCAGCGATTTAGTGCTCAGCAAGGCCAGCGTGAGCCCTGCAGCCTGCTGAGTCTAAACTCTGCAGCAAGGTCACCAGCTGTGCACAGCTAGGGCAGCTTCAGGCAAGTACCAAACTAGAGGGTTGGTGCAGAGTTAAATGTGAATGGAACACTGAACTCAGTGCAGACACTGGTGTCATTTGGGTATTAAATTCAATCTCTAACCCCTAGAGATTAGGCTGAGGCCTTCCTGGAAGGCAGATTATCCTGTCTGCTGTTTGTGGGGGGGGGTTTATACCTTCCTCTGAAACAGTTGGTACTAGTTTTACCAGCTTTGCCCGTTACTTTGGGTTATGCTCATTTATTAGGGCTACTCTTCTGGGGGAGAGTGTTCTGTACTTCTATCAATATACTGTTTGTGTCACTTATGTTCTCATACGGAGCTCTACTTCTCCCTGCTGCAAGTTCCCTCCCAATGGAGCTATCCTGCAGGACCTAGGTTCCCCAGGGCTAGGTTCTTCCAGCCCCAGATTCAGATGAACACACACACACACATTAACAGAGCGCATCTGAGAGGACCAGGTTAATCAGAACTCCCAAGCAGCGGCGGCTCCAGGCACCAGCGCTCCAAGCGCGTGCCTGGGGCGGCAAGCCGCGGGAGGCACCCTGCCAGTCGCTGTGAGGGCGGCAGTCAGGCAGCCTTCGGCGGCATGCCTGCGGGAGGTCCGCCAGTCCTGCAAATTTGGTGGCAATTCGGCGGCGGGTATGCTGAATCCGCAGGACCGGCGGATCTCCCGCAGGCATGCCGCTGAAGGCAGCCTGCCTGCCGTGCTTGGGGCGGCAAAAAAGCTAGAGCTCCCCCTGCTCCCAAGCTGACCCCTTATATGTCCCTGGACTCAGCAGATTGGGTCGAGCAGCACTTCCAAGCTGCCACCTTCATATGTCCCTGGTTCAGCAAGTCTCTATCCCCACTTTCACATCACAATTGTTCTAGTAGTAACCCACTTGATGAGCAAACCCCACAGGATTTTTGGGCGCTGCAGGGATCTTTTAGCTTAGGAATGAGGAACACTGCTGCAGAGTGAATGAGGAAACCAAAAAAACCACCACGAGGGGGAGAAAGAGAGAGAGAGAGAGAGAGAGAGAAAGAAGCAACCAGCTTAATCATGAACGTTATGTATTGCCAGATAATAACCATAGGGGAGCCAAACAAAAAAACCCAGTTATAATATTAAATCTAAATTTGATTATAAAAGTCAAGTTTACAAAACTATAACTGGTCACACAAGTCAGGGTTAGAAGGCTATACCGAGAGAGAGAGAGAGAGAGAAAGAGAGAGAGAGAGAACTGGGTTCTCACCACTCTGTGAAGCTTGAATCGATCTGGGGTCCCAGGTGGTGGTGGTAGCTGAGGGTCCGGAGTGCTGGAGACAGGCAGAGCCCCCATCTCGATCAGTCAGGAGAAGATGAAGTCCCAATGGAACTAATGCAGATTTTGGATCCAGGCATTAGAACACTTACTTGAGCATGGATAGGAGTTTTTGTAGAGGAACAATAATGGTTCAAGGGAGAACACTTGATTTGTTTATGTGTAAACAAGGGAGAATACCAAAGTTGTTTTGTTCAGGCTAGACAATGGGAGCTGATTATTCCTGGCTTTGGGCGGTGTTCCTTGGAGGGAGCTCACAGTGTATTAGGGAGCTTCACTATTTTGGATACCAATAAAGGATTTATTACTAGAATTGGTCTGATAACTACTGAGCTGGGTGTGTGCAGGCATGGGTTCATTAACATCTGGAGCAGAGATCCCCCATCATGCAGTGCTTTCCTGCTTTTCTGGTCCCAGAGTTCCGTGCGGTTCTTGCCTTGGAATCTCTGTTCTCCATTCTGTATGCTAATGGAGATGCCTCCTTGTCCCATCTTTGATGCAAACAAGGCTAGGGGAGTTTCCTTAATTCTGTCATCCTTATCCTATGGGTGTAGGTGTGTCTCCCACTGCCTTTTCATTGCTTTTTGTAAGTCTTTCTTCTGATGCAGTTTTGGTTCAAGCAGAGGCGGGGTGGGGTGGGGTGGGGCGTGGGGGAAGATCTTTTGTGAGTCAGACAGGCTGGGTACTGCGCACTGGTTCCCCAAGAACACAGAGCTGCTAGGTAACATAGGCGCCGACTCCGTGGGTGCTCCAGGGCTGGAGCACCCACAGGGAAAAATTAGTGGGTGCTCTGCACCCACTGGCAGCCAAGCTCCCCTCCCCTCCACTCCACCTCCTCCTCCCCCCATGAGCATGCCGCATCCCCACTCCTCCACCTACCTCCCAGCGCTCCCCGCCTAGCCACTGCCAAACAGCTGTTTGGCGGTGTAGCAATCTCCGGGAGGGAGGGGGAGGAGTGGGAACGTGGCGTGCTCAGGGGAGGAGGGGGGAAGAGGTGGGGCCGGGGCGGGGATTTGGGGAAGGAGTCGGAATAGGGGCAGGGAGGGGGCGTAGTTGGGGTGGGGACTATGGGGAAGGGGTTGGAATGGGGGTGCAGCAGAGGTGGGAGGGGGCAGGGCGGGCCCTCATGGAAGGGGTGGAGTCGGGGCAGGGCCAGGGGCAGAGGGGGGCTTGAGCACCCACTGGCGGGAGAAGAAGTCGGCGCCTATGCTAGGTAACACTAGACATTGTCAGAGACAGGACTCTGGGCTAGATGGACCAGGGCTCGGATGCAGGGCTCGGATGCAGGGACTTGGTGCCATCTGCTTCCAGGGAGCCTGCCTTAGCCCTGCAGCACGCCGTTGCCACCCCGGAGCCACTCAAGGTAAACAGCGCCGGGCCGGAGCCCGCACCCCGAAACCCTCCTGCACCCCCTCTTCCCTGAGCCCCCTGCTGCACCCCGCACCCCTCCTGCACCCCAACCCCCTGCCCTGAGCCCCTTCCTGCACACCGCACCCACTCCCACACCCCGCACTCCCTCCCACACCGCAACCCCCTGCCCCAGCCCTACATTCATGGCCCTGCATGCAATTTCCCCACCCAAATGTGGTCCTCCGGCCAAAAAGTTTGCCCACCCCTGGCCTAGGCTGAGGATCT